GCTAATCCATAATGGTGGGATGGGTGGGGAAGAATGAAGGAACTTTGGATTGTGTAGGGAGTGAGGGAAGGAGAAGGGGTATGGGGATGGAAAGGATCGTGCAATGAGATGGACATTATTACCTTATTTACATGTATGATTACACTACATGTATGATTACACTACCTTATATACATGTATGACACATGTGTCATAATTTCCTTGTGTGTATTGGAATGCTGGAGATCAAACCCAGGGCTTCATGCATGTTAGGTAAGTGCTCTTCCATGAAACTATATCTCCAGCTCCTCTCATCTGTTAAATTGAGTCAACAACCACTTATCATGGGATAATACTGATGAGTGTGTGAGATGAGATAAGGCACCAAGGAGACATATCCCTTCAGAGGTCTATTGGATTGGTGCTCATGACTTCACAGTCATTGGCTATAAATAATACCCCTCTCACAATAGTGGGGGAACAAGGGAAAAACGGAGGATCTTTGATGGGGCAAAGGGGAGTGAGGGTGGGGAGGGGACATGGGGGCAGGAAAGATGGTGGAATGAGATGGACATCATTACCCTAGGTACATGTATGACTGCACATATGGTGTTATGCGTTATCATATACAACCAGAGAAATGAAAAGTAGTGCTGCAATTGTGTACACTGATTCAAAATGCATTCTGCTGTCATATATACTTAATTAAAATAAATTAATTAATTTTTAAAAGTCCCTCTCATATTCCTTATACACATTTTATAACATTGAAAAGGGGGTTGGTCTATAAGGAGAAAGAAGTAAATCCTCCAAAAGAGGAGATCTTGGGAATGAAATTGACCAAATTATGTGTATATCTGAAAATATGACAATGAATCCCATTATTATGTAAAATAATAATGAATCAATTTTAAAAATTGAAAAAGAAGTTACCCTCCCAAAAATTTACCTTTTTGTATTCTCAGATAAAATGCAAGAAAAACTAGATGAACTATTAATGGCAATGTGGACTGGCATGTCAAATTAGAATCTAGAAGTCCCCCAATATGAATATAAGTATCTTGAATAATTCCTCCACAGAGAAATTTTGCTAATTGACAGTAGAGATGGCACTAAAAATAGAAGGGAGCTCTCCTAATCACACTTTAGCCACGGCACTGGTAGAGGTGAATGCAGATGTGAATTTATAATGGAATTCAACCCCCTTCTAACTGAAATCCTAATATGAGTAAATAAATATCCTTAGTTGAGGGGCAATATAAGAAGTCAAAGTTTGGACTGGAGACCAATAGTCTCATATTAAAACAGAATTGAAATTGGCCAGGCCTCCAACTCAGCTCTGTTAATGGTGGGATCTAAATCTTATCTCAGCTGCCTGACAAAAATATGGGTATTCTCTCTCTCAGAAAAGAAAATAAACAGAAAAAATTATCTAATTCAATCTGCAGTGTTTTCTTTTATTCAAAATGCCCAACAGGAAATTATAAAACATGAAAAAAGACCATAAAAATGTTACCTGTCAACAGAAAGCATTATTAATACAAATAGACATATAGATGACACAGATTTGGAAATAGATCATACTTTAATAAATTTAGAGGATAAGACAATGAGAATGGATGAACAGATGGAGAATTATAATATAGCAATGGAAACCTTAAGAATAAAATTGAAATTCTATACCTAAAAATGCAATATCTAAAATAATGAAATCATTGAATGGGATCAATAGTATCTTGAACATAAAACAAGAAACTCAGTGACCTAAAATGGAGGTAGACAAAACTTTTGTTAAAAAAAAAAATAAGGGCCAAGGACCTGAACAGACACTTCTCAGAGGAGGACATACAGTCAATCAACAAGTACATGAAAAAATGCTCACCATCTCTAGCAGTCAGAGAAATGCAAATCAAAACCACCCTAAGATACCATCTCACTCCAGTAAGATTGGCAGCCATTATGAAGTCAAACAACAACAAGTGCTGGCGAGGATGTGGGGAAAGGGGTACACTTGTACATTGCTGGTGGGACTGCAAATTGGTGCAGCCAATTTGGAAAGCAGTATGGAGATTTCTTGGAAAGCTGGGAATGGAGCCACCATTTGACCCAGCTATTCCCCTTCTTGGTCTATTCCCTAAAGACCTAAAAAGAGCATGCTACAGGGACACTGCTACATCGATGTTCATAGCAGCACAGTTCACAATAGCAAGACTGTGGAACCAACCTAGATGCCCTTCAATAGACGAATGGATAAAAAAAATGTGGCATTTATACACAATGGAGTATTACTCTGCATTAAAAAATGACAAAATAATAGAATTTGCTGGGAAATGGATGGCATTAGAGCAGATTATGCTAAGTGAAGCTAGCCAATCCCTAAAAAACAAATGCCAAATGTCTTCTTTGATATAAGGAGAGTAACTAAGATCAGAGTAGGGACGAAGAGCAGGAGAAGAAGATTAACATTTAACAGGGATGAGAGGTGGGAGGGAAAGGGAGAGAGAAGGGAAATTGCATGGTAATGGAAGGAGACCCTCAGGGTTATACAGTGGAGGGGGTAGAGAGAGAGGAGGGGAGGGGAGGGGAGAGGTGGGGAGGGGGGAGGGTGGAGGATGAGAAAGGCAGCGAAGCACAACAGACACTAGTATGGCAATATGTAAATCAATGGATGTGTAACTGATGTGATTCTGCAATCTGTGTATGGGGTGAAGGTGGGAGTTCATAACCCACTTGAATCAAAGTGTGGAATATGATATGTCAGGAAATTTGTAATATTTTGAACAACCCACAATAAAAAATTAAAAAAAAAATAAAACTAGATAGTAATAGTTTAGGCTTAGTAAATCATATGCTCTCTGTCACAACTACTCAACTATTGCTGTTTTAGCACAAAAGCAGCCTTACACAATATGTAAAACTATAGAATAAATAGTAAAACTATAAAAACAGCCAGTGAACCATATTTGATCTGTGGGTCATAGAATGCTGATCCCTGAATGGTAAACTAGTCAATAGAAATCCCAAAATCAAAGCACAAAAAGACAAATGAGTGGGAAAATAGAACTGTATGAGAGACAATGTCAATCTATCATTTGTGTCTATGAAAGAGAAAAGGAAAGATTAAAAAAACTTGGTAAACCTACATTTTTTTTCCAAAATTATGACTATATCCCGACAGACAGATCAAACAATCTCAGGGAAATACAAGTAGAATGATAAAAAGAAAACTACACCAATGCACATCATTATCAAGTTTCTGAAATCAAAGATACAGACAAAATCTTTGAAGTAACTAAGAAAACAAGATAAAGTTACAAGGATATCCATTAAAATATACAGCTGACTTCTCATCAGAAATTACAGAGAAAAGAACCAATGGAATTACATTTTAAATACTGAAAGAAATAAAAACTGTCAACCAAAAATTTTATAACCAGAAAAAAAAATAATTCAAGAATGAAAAAAAAAAGTGAGGCATGGTGGTGCATGCGTGTGATCTCAACAACTTGGGAGGTTGATGCAGAGGATCACAAGTTCAAGGTCAGCCTCATCAATATAGTAAGACCCTCAGCAATTTAGTAAGAACCTGTCTCAAAATTTTAAAAAAGGACTAGGTATGTATCTCAGTGGCAAAGCACCCTTGGGTTCAATCCCCAGTTCCAAAAATAAAAAGAAATTTAAAAATATATTTAAAAGTTAAAATAAATTTTTTAAAAGTTATATTTAAGAAATATATATATTTTTTAATTTTTAATATTTATCTTTCAGTTTTCGGCAGACACAACAGCTTTGTTTGTATGTGGTGCTGAGGATCGAACCCAGGCCGCATGCATGCCAGGCAAGCGTGCTACCGCTTGAGCCACATCCCCAGCCCAAGAAATATATTTATAAATATATTTTAAATATGTTTAAAAATATATTTAAAAGTTAAAAATAAATTTAAAAGTTAATAAAGGACTGGGTGCAGAGGCCCACATCTGTAGTCCCAGTGACTTAGCATGTTGAGGCAGGAGTATTTCAAGCTTGAGGCTAGTCTTGGCAACTTAGACTCTGTCTCAAAATAAAAAAGGAAAAGGACTAGAGATATAGCACATCCCTGGATTCAATCTCCAGTACCAGGAAAAATAAGTCAACAGAGTGATAAAATGGAATACCAAATAATTGTATTGATTAGTACAAAAGAATGGAAGCAGGAAAAAGTGTTGGAGACAAATACAGATAATAAAAGTGGAAACTTAAGAGTAAAATGGTAGAATTAAGTCCAATCAGAGAAATAGTTACACTAAATATAAATGGACTGAACACTTCAATTGAAAGAGGTTGACAGACCAAGTTATTTTTAAAAAACTATAATGTGCTATATTTCATAAAAACTCACTTAAAAATAATAGGATAGACAACAAAGATATACACTGCAAACATTAATCATAAAAAAAATTCGGTGACACTTTTAATATCAGAAAAGTATTAGAAGTGGCTGGGGCTGGGGCTCAGTGGTAGAGTGCTCACCTAGCATGCATGAGGCACTGGGTTGGATCCTCAGCACCACGTAAAAATAAAGATACTGTGTCCACCTAAAAAAATAAATAAATAAATAAATATTTTTTTAGAAAATAAATAAATAAATAGATAGATTCCACCAGGCATAGTGGTTTATGCCTGTAATTCCAGCTATTTAGGAAACTAAAGTAATGGAATGCAGAAAGACCCCAAAGAAGAGGGCAAGACTTGGGACAAGGTGGCTGTCCTCAGGCATGGGTATTTCCTGGAGAAGGACAAAACAGCTGTCACCTGCTGACTCTCCTGGTAGCTTCTGTCTTCTGCTCTTTGTAACCTGGTAGGCCCAGCCTTTCATACTAAGCGTGAGCATGATAGATTAAATTGATGTGTTAATTTGATTAACTCTGATCAGAAAGTTGTTTTTTCAGTAGGTCACATCTGTTTCTCTTCTAATCAAACTACAATTGGCTGATCCAGGTCACCTGGCTGCAGAGCCCACATCATCAGATGGCAGCATCAATTTAGTGCCCACAGGGGCACCTTCCCAGGAGTTTCCTCAAAGCCCCGGCCACTTCCTTGTTCCTCAGACTGTAGATGAGAGGATTGAGCATGGGGGTGATCATGGTGTAGAAGGCAGAGACCACTTTGTCCTGCTTGGAGGAGTGGTAGGCCTGGGGTCGCATGTAGGTAATCATGGCTGCCCCATAGAAGAGGGAGACCACGGTCATATGGGAGGAACAGGTAGCAAAAGCCTTCTGCCGGCCTTCCACAGAGCGCATGCGGAGCACTGCCACCAGGATCCTCAGGTAGGAGGCCGAGATGACAGAGAAAGGCAGGAGCAGCATGAGGACACAGCAGACATAGATCATGGTCTCATAGAGGGAGGTGTCAGCGCAGGCCAGCTTGAGCACTGCAGGGACCTCACAAAAGAAGTGGTCTATCTCCTGGGAACCACAGTAGGGGAAGCGGAGGGTGAAGACAGCCTGGATCAGCCCATCCACCAGTCCAAAGAGCCAGGACCCTGCCACCATGAGCCAGCAGACTCGGCGACTCATAACCACTGAGTACCTCAGTGGGTTGCTGATGGCCACGTAGCGGTCGTAGGCCATGAAGGCCAACAGGAAGCATTCATCCCCCAAGAGGGTGAGGAAGAAAAGGATCTGGAGTCCACAGCCTGTAAAGGAGATGGAGCCACCGCCAAGCAGAAAGTCAGCGGCCATCCGTGGCACAATGGTGGAGATGAGCATGAGGTCCATGAGTGACAGCCAGCTGAGGAAAAAGTACATGGGGCTGTGGAGGCTGGAGTCGACATTGATGAGGAGGATCATGAGCCCATTGCCAGAAAGGGCCACCAGAAACATGATCATGATGATGGAGAAGAGGAAGAGGTGTAATGGCGAGTGGGTGAAGAGGCCCAGGAGGATGAAGTGGGAGATGAAAGTCTGGTTTCCCACCCAGGCCATTGTTCCTGCAAGGCACTGGAGAGATGGTAGGGATCTGGAAGCAGAAGGTTTACACTTAGTGTAACAATGCAAAGGACATTGCAACTTTGCCCAATGTGTTGTCCTTTTTAAATGTGACTTGGTTTAGGAAAAAAATGTGCGGGGCCTTAAAGAAAAATGCAGGTGATGGTGGTTGTTAAGTTTTAGGACTTTCTGTAATAGTTAAGAAATTAATTTTAAGCTCTTTAATATGTGGGAAACTGCTTCTGCCTCTGCTAGAAATTGTTCCTTTCTTTGGCACACAATCAAGAATGTGTTTGGTTTTTTGTTTGTTTGTTTTCAGGAAAAGTATTTAAGCAGCAAAATTTATTAACCACATGAACCGGGCAATTCAGTTTTATTGTCTTAAATTGAAATGACATATTATAATATAGGATGACAGAAGTAATTGAATTGAGAACATAAGCAATGCTTAGTAGTTTAAAATTGATAACAACTGACATTACTGGAGTATTTCTTACATGCCAGATATCAAGATGAACACATTGGTACATCCTCAGAAAGGGATGATCATTATCTTCAATTCACAAATGGGGAAACTTAGGCAGAGAGAAATTTATTTTTCAGATATGAAAGCTTAAAGTTTTTTTTTAAAGAAACATAGTAAATGAAAAATTGGAGACAACCCAAATGCCCAACATAAAGAAATAACTAAGTAAATTATGATATAGTCACATGGTAAAACAATATTTAGTCAATTACATATTTATGACATTTTCATAGATCACAAAAAAATTTACCAAGTATTCTTAAGTGTTTCTAAAGGCTGGAAGAAAATATACTGTTATTAACAGTGTGATTTCGTCTAGGTAGTAAATAAAGGTTATCTCCTCTTAATTTCTTTGTACTTTACATATTTTCTGTAAAAATATAGAGGTATGGTTTAAATTTTAAAATAAAGTTACACTATACATAGGCTCAACACACAAAAATCATCTGCTTTCTCATAAATAATTAGCAAATGTAACTGAAAAAGCAAGAATATTTTATTCACAATTGGAACAAAAGCTATATAAGTTATAATGAATGCAGGAAAGAACCCTAAAGTTAAACATTATGAAACTTTAGTGAAAAACAATTTTAAAGGGCTCAACATTGTGTGCTTTTAAATTCTTCATAAAATTAATGTGTAAAATCCATGTGATCACATTTAAAACATTAGGGCTGGGGATATAGCTCAGTTGGTAGAGTGCTTGCTTCTCATGCACAAGGCCCTGGGTTCAATCCCCAGCACCACAAAAAATATTTTTAAACTGGAAGGATAGAATTGGAGTTCTTTCAGAAATCCCCCAAAAGCAGATTTATAGTTCTTGCTGCACAAAGTTTTAATACTTAAAACAGAAAACACAAACTATCTAGAAGGGACAAAACAAGTAAAGACTGGGCAGGGGTGAAGGAGAAAGTAGAAAAAGGACACCAGGACACCCTCTCCAAAGAGAGGGGCAAAATTAAAATTGTTATTTTATACTAGCAGATACAGATGCATAGGCTACTGCAAAGAATCTCTCGGGACGTGGTTTACTCCAAGCAGCAGAGAAGAAGAAATGGAGCAAAGAATCACATAGACAAAACCATATTTACAGAAAGAATTCTGTCTTCATGGCAGGGAAAGGAGAGACAATTTGCCTTAAGGATAACCCTAGAGTTTCTTAAGGATAGCCCATCTCATTAGCCTGAGAATTACAACAGTTAAACTAAATACTTAGGGACTAAAGAACTCCAATTCTGGGTTAAAATGAATGATTAGATATACCTGTCACTGTTACCTCCAAAAATCCCACTAGAATGACAGTAACCACAGATACAATGAAAGGATAATTAGAACATTCTTTTAGACACTAGAAGTGGTTGGACACATGATAACTTACTTGCAGACCTTAAAAGGCTAATTTCTACACTGACAGTGGTGAAAAAAGAACAGTAACCACAGAACTGGTAAAAGGGCTCAAGAATTGATGGCTTGAAAGCTATCCATATGGTCTCACCTTCACCTCAACTTATATTGGTGTCTCCAATAGAAACACACTAATGTAGAAATTTCTCCCCACTCCACCCAGGTGGATCTTGCCCCTCCCTTACCCTGGCAAAAAAACACAAGACAGATTCCCCAGGGAAGGTGATGGTGCCCTGAACATTAATAGAAAAAGTGATAAATGTGAAATGCCTGCCTTCTTCTCCCTGTTAGCTCTCATAACCATATTTATTCCCTTCAGGAGGGAAATTAAAAGAACCCCTCCCCACAGCTACAGATATGGACCAGGAAATATCTAAAGATATTAATGTTGTAAAACTTTGTAAAAACCTTATATCACTCAAAGTGAAGGCTTAGTTAACATGCCCTACCCACATACTCAGGGAACCCTAGTTTTTTGATACCTCACAACCAAGCAGTAGACAACCAAAATATTTTCTACACTTAAGAAAAGGAAAATCAGCAAAGCAATATGAATTAAGAAAGAGACTCTTCAAGGAAACAAGTTTTTTAAAAATTATTTTCAACATGAATGAGATAAGAAAAATATCTAATAAAACAAGAATAAAATGCTATAAAAAAGCTACATTCAGAGGACAAAGAGCTCTTTTCAAAATAAAAATACATTTTGAGCAGTTTTACTTCTAGGAATTCATCTTATAGATATATTTGCACATACGCAAAATATATCAGGCATAGATTTATTTTCTACTAGAAGTAGAAAAAACTGTAAAGGTCTAATCATCAGCAAAAAACGAATTTACAATGGAATGATGCAAATTAAAAACAGAATGAGATTACTTCTTATGTATTGATTTAGAATTTTAAATAATATTGCTTAAAAATATAATGAAAGAGGCAATACACAGAAGTGTGTGTAGCATGTATATATGTACAACTTACATAACATGTTATATCACATACTAGTTATATATCATAATTATAGATTACATGTTATACAAATTATAAATCAAAAAATCATATAATTGTACTTGATTGGGAGTGTAGCTCAGTGGTAGAATGTAAGAAGCATGAGGCCCTGGTTTCTATTCTCAGCACCACAAAAAAAGAGAATATAATTATATTAAATTACATATCTATTATATAATATTACATTTTACATATATGTTTGTAAAAAAGTATGTGTGTGTTTGTGTGTGTGTGGCTTTTAAACACAGTAACTATTTTAATCTTCAGTAACTATACTTATAAATACATGTATCCATAAATAAAAAATTTCTGAAATAGAATAGAAGAAACTAATAATACTTCCCCAGAGTAAAAAAATCAGAAGAATCAGATTACTATGATAGGGTAGAAAAGAGAGTCTAGATGGTATGTACGTTTTCACCTTTAGAATTTTAATCTTTGTGGAACAATAATATAAATACAATGTTGAAATGATACACCCAATAAAATTTATTGTAAAAATTGATAAGGCAAGAACCAATGTGTATATACAGTACATTATAGTTACTTAGTAAATATCTACTGAACAAATGGTTAAAATAACTTTGGGAGAAATTACCTTCTCAAAATACAGTATATAATGCAACATTTATCTCTCTCCCTCTCTCTCTCTTTCTGGTTGGAGATAAAACCCAGGACCTTGCACAGGTTAGGAAAGTACTCTATAACACCCCAACCCTGTATTACAACATTTTTAAACACATAAACAAATAATGATTAGAAAATATTTTGAAAAAAAAGTAAAAGTAATAAGTTCATATTTTTCAGGAAAAGTTAACATTGATTGCATACTAATTCAATTTTCACCTCTGGAGTGTGGGGAGGTGATCCCTTTGTTGCCAAAGCCGCCTGGGCACACGCAACCAGTCATAGCTCGTAGAAGCAAATAAGAGTCCCATCCTAGGGAATAATGGTGAACCTCAGAGAGCAATGGGACAGAATGCAATTAAGAGAGAAAACACAAGAGAAAGAAGGGAGGAATCAGATTGGAAAAGAAAGAGGAGAAAAACTAACATTACCTCAAGAAGGGAAGGGAGAGGTAAAAGGAGTAAAAGGAAAAGGAGACAAGAGGAAAAGATGTGAAACAATGGGAAAAAAATGAAGAAAAGTTAAAATGTCAGAAATTATTTTTACCCAAAAGACATAGAAGGATAACAAGGAGACAGTGTAACAGAGTGCAAAGATGTAGACATCATGCAAAAGGAGAACAAACATGCTGAGAAAGAAGGGTCAGAACAAAGAACAACACAGATGGGATCAGAGACAAGAAGGGAACAAGGGTACCCTGTGAAGGGGCAGCCAGGCAGAGGGACAGAGCACTCCTCTCGCCAATATTATAAGGAGCCCTGGGACTTCAGGGATGCAGTAAGAGCTGGCAGCTCTCTGACTCTTACCATCCTTCTGGGAAAGGCTATAGAGAAGCTTGCATTGCCTTCAAACCCTCTCACCCTCAACCGCTGATGTTGATGGGGAGGTGAATTGGACCGATGGACTGAGCAGAGGGTCTACACAGGGAGCCGTGGAGGGCAACTGGTACTGAATGCCAGGCTGAGGAGTTGGGACCTTACATGTTACCAGGAAATGGTTAAGAGCTAGGGCTTGACCAGTTATTAGATCTGAGGCCTTGAGCATGTGCTCACTGAGCTTTTCACCTCATCTGCTAAACGAAGACAAGAATAATCATTTTCTAGGGTAGTCGTGAAGATTAAAGAAGTTACTGTGTTCAAAAGCTCCAGACACTAGCTTCCCATACAAAAAGCTCAACAAACAGGGACCATTGTCTAAGACCATTCAACAGATGGCTGACAGACAAGGAGACTGAAGAAGAGGAGAAACTGTTAGGAAGCAGCCCTGATGTCCAAAGCAGGAGATGGCCACTCACTGTGTGGCCAAAAGAAGGGAGAAAACACACCAAAGTATGTTTCTCCAAATAAGAGCAGAATACTGACTCTCCTTCAAGAAGAAGGGGTACATAAGAGAATGAGAAGAGGAAAAAAATACATGGGTGGCAGAGGAACAG